AGTTCAGTTTAGTTCAGTCGTTCAGTCATGTCCAACTCTTTGCAACCCCATGGACTGCAGGAGGCTCTGACAAGTTCTGAGCTGCTCCCTTGGAGAATGGGCCTGTTGTTGTTTAGTCACTAAGTCCTGTCTGACTCTTTGCAGCTCCATGGGCTGTAGCACGCTAGGGCCTGTTAAGGTTCCTCTTTGTTGTGGGTTGAACTGTGCCCCCAAATTCAGATGTCAAAATTCTAAGCCCCAAGACTTCAGGATGTGGCCTTAATTGGAGGTGAGTTCTTTACAGGGGTTGCCGAGGTAAAAGGAGACATTAGGGCAGCCCTGACCCAACGTCACACACACATTCACACGCACACATTATACCTTGTGAGCATACAGGCAGAGATGGGGTGGTGCTTCTACAAGCCTGGGGTACCAGCAAACCCTCAGAAGCTGGAGGAGTCTGGACCAGACTGCCCCCCAACCCTTTGAAGGTCCAGCCCCTCCAGGACCTTGATCTCAGACTTCTGGCTCCAGAGTCAGCCCTGGCGGCTGGAGCAAGCCAGTCACATAAAGTCTTGGCAGGGACCAACCCTGTCACCTGCATGGCGAGTCCTGAGCACTCTAGCTCTTCCCTCTGAGCTTGAGGACGCACGCATCCCTCCAGCCAGGCACCTGCTGGCCTGTGTGGCTTGGGGATGGACCAGCATGTCCCACGCTGCTACCCTGCTCTGCTCCGTCCCATCCCGCTCCTCCACCCTCACCTGCAGGCAGCTTTCTGATGCTCACATAGAACCTGCATTCATCCACCAGGGCTCCAGCCTCTCGGGAACCTCAAAGGCACAACCCTGAGGTCAGTGCATGGCCTTTGTCCTTTGTGGGTGGGGCAGCTGTGGGGGGGCACCCACGTGGCCCTCTGAAGTCAGGGTGCTGAGACAGGGCCACACCCAGCGGCGACCTCCAATGGGGCAGAGCCACAGTAGGGACAGTGGCCTGGCCACAGGCCCCCCTGGGCCCTGCAACTGCAGCTGGTCCACAGCAGACGGTGAGCAACTGCTCAAGGGTCAGCAGGACGGGACTGAGTCACTATCACCCGTGGAGGCCTCTGAGCCAGCAGCAGTCACTCTGAAGATAAACTCTGCGCCGAGTTCCAACACCGTGAAGGCCGGCTGTTTAATCAGCTCTTAACCCCACAGGTTCTACCTGCACAGGTGCAGGCCGGGGGGCCGAGGGAGGGGACCCCGCCCGGGATGATGCAGGCACACCAGCATCAGGCAGCCAGCTTTCTCAGTCTTCTGCGGCCAGGCCGCGGGCCCAGCTCCCTCAGTCACTGTTCTCCTGCACCCCTGGGCCCCTCGTCCTGAGGCCGGGCGGGCGCCAGCGCCCCGGGACGCCCACAGCACCCTTCTCCTCATGCAGGTTAGCAACGTCGTGATGGGCCGCTCCTGTCTGGGTCTGTCTGGCACAGAGGCAGCAGCTCCGTCTGCGTGGGCTCAGGTCGCAGCTGGCCCCCACGGGGATCACCCGCCTTCCCAGGTCTTTCCATCTAGTGTGTGTGCTTGCAGACATACACGTCTGAGCTGGCTGGTTCCACCCTGTGTTCCTGTGACCCTGTCCATCAAGCCCCAACCTAGGATGCCTCTTCTTTCTCGAAACTCAAGATGTGGAGCGTCTGTAGGCAAACAGCCCGCTGGGATGGACACTGATCCTCACAGGTTCAAGGTGGCGCGTCACCATCTTGTGAAATCCCTGTCATCTCCCTGCATGCACATCCCCAAATCCATGTTGATGCCCTCCCCTCGGCCCAGAATGGTTCTGGAGGGTGGCTCTGGCGGGATGAGGCCCCAGCAGGGGCTGAGCCCTCATGAATGGGGCCGGTACTCTTATAAAGGTGGCTCCAGAGCGCTTCTGGGCCCTTCTGTCCTGGGGGGGCTCGACTTTGTAAGCCACCCAGCCTGAGACATCTTTGTTACAGCAGCAGGGAGGCTGGGATGTTGAGTGTTGGGCCCTTCCCTCCTGCCTGGAAGGGTGGTTCCTGCCTGGCACCAGGTATCAGCCCCGGCCCGGGCACCAACGGCGTTCTGGGCACCAGGTACCAGCCCCTGGTGGGGAGGCTGCAGGAGGGGCAGGGAGGTGTGGTCTCTGGAATGAAGCTGGAGCCCTGGGCATGGTGGTATTGAGGAGCCAGAGTGGTGTACAGGCCCTGGCAGAGGGACAGTGCCAAAAAGGGACATGTATGTGGCTCAGAGTGGAGAGTGCGGTGTGGACGCCCCCCTGCAGGAGCCGCGAGGTGGGAAAATCAAAGCTTACACGGAGTGGGAGGGGGAGGGTGGCCGCCGGGGCTTGGGGGTCCGGGAGGGCTCCTCCTTGGGCAGAGCCAGGGTGCCACATACCTGGATGCACCTCAGGGTGCACCTGAGAGTCCGGGGCCTACTTGGTGGCTTGGGAACTCCATCCCTCCGTGTCCCAAATGTACAGTCTTGAGGCGGGGTCATCTCGGCAAAGATCCCAGTCTGCCTGGTCAGGGAGCAGGTATTGACCGCTGTGGTTTCCGGTCGTCCGGGAAATCGTTTTCCGATGCGAGTGTGATTCAAGCCCTTTGGTTCCAATCAATTCGCGCTCCAGGTCGGCAAAGCGCGGGGACGCTTTGCTCCTTGCCCGACGCGCGGACACTGGGTCCTGCGCAGGCGTCTCTCGGGNAGGCGGCCGAGAGGTGTGAGCCCGAGACGGGGCGCGGGGCTTGTGTGTGCTCCCCGTGGCCCCTGCCCCAGACCAGGAGAGGGCGCTGGGCAGGGGGCGGTTGTGCCTGGCTTCCTTGCCCAGCTGGCTCCCTGTTGAACTAGACCTGTGCCGGCTGGGGGCCACGTGGGCAAGCGCGGCCTCAGACCCAACCCCGGGTGGTTTTCTCAGTGTGACTTTTTCTCGCAGGGTTTAGTCTTTGATGTCTAAGACGGGGCAGGGATGCCCAGGGAGGTGGGGGTGTGTGCAGGCTCTGGGCATGCAGGCTGGCTGTAGGGGCCGACTGCAGCTCTGTTTCTGCCCTGGGCTCAGAACCACGCTGCCTAAGCACCACGCTTTGCTTCCTGTGCCCAAGCCTGGCCTGTGAGGCCGTGGCTTCGGGCATGAGGTGGGCTCACCCCAAATGCCAAGCCGGAGTTTCCCCGGCAGGTGGTCTCCGGCCCGCCTGCGAGGGCTGCCGTCAGAGCAGTCTGCTGGGGTCTGCACAAGCCCCGCCCGCTCCCCTGGACCCTGAAGCAGGCCAGTCCCACTGCTCCTCCCCCCGAGTCCCTTCTGTGCCTCTTCATCCGTCTCAGGAATGTGCTGTGATGAGTTGTGTTGTGACTTTCTGTTCAAACTCGGATGCAGAGGAAAGTCACCCCGTTTCCGCTGCCTCCTGCTTCAGAGTGTGAGTGTGTGTGTGTGTGTGTGTGTGCGCGCGCGCGTGCACGTCCACGTGCGTGCACACCTGCGAGTGTGTGCAGTTGAAACATCCAGACGCCAGAAGTCATGTTTGAAGTTGCCCACGGCCTTGAGGGCCCACCTTGCTCTCCGGCGTGATTGTGTGATTTCTTCCATCCTCCCTGACTCACTACCCAGAGTGTCGTGAAGATGACTAGGAAGTGATCTCCTGGATGAAGCCCCTCCACGGGAACTAGTCCTGTGAGCCCAGTAAATCCCAACCGCATGCTCCCATCCCTGCCTGGGCCGTCCAGGGGCCACAGTGGATGTGGATGTGCAGCCGTTCCTTGAAGGAGACTTTTGTAATCGCTACTTTGAAACTTTGAATTCCTGTGGGTGTCCCTGGTTTTAAAATTTGCTTCTGACTTTGGTTGCTGAGTGTAAAGAATGAGTGTGCACTGTTGTGAAGAATGACTATGGAAAACCATTTGAAGATCATCACATTACGACGGCAGTGGGGGGGGGTGCGTGGAGGTAGCCTCTTGCATTATTACTAAAACCACATTAGAGGTGACGCCACCCTGCACCTTATGGAATGGACTGGGGGATGGGGAGCGGGGCAGGGGTCCGAGGCCCCCATGGCCTGTCTCCCAACTCCACGAGGGGTGTAGGTCATCTGCTCACCCCGGCTCTGTCTCCTTAGGTGCTGGGACACCTTGTTTTCTGCCCCCAAAGAAACGTCTAGAGAGCCACACCTCCCTGCTCCCCCGCCTGGTGCATCGTAGTTCTGGCTGCTAAACCCGTGCATCCCTGTGTGTGTTTATCTTTCATGCTGGCTGAAGACCGAGAAGGTGGAAGCACGGGATTCCTGAGTCCAGGAGGCCATGAGTGAGGGCAGGTGCTCTGTGGCCCTGATGTCTTCCGTGGTGGCTCCAGCCAAGGAGGCCAACGCCACGGGCCCGAAGGCGGTGGAACTCGTACTGCTCAAGGAGCAAAACGGGGTGCAGCTCACGAACTCCACCCTCCTCAACCCCCCGCAGAGCCCCACGGAGGCCCAGGATCGAGAGACCTGGAGCAAGAAGGCCGACTTCCTCCTCTCCGTGATCGGCTTCGCCGTGGACCTGGCCAACGTCTGGCGGTTCCCATACCTATGCTACAAAAATGGCGGGGGTAAGTCTGTCCGCCTGCTCTTTGCCCTCCCACCTGAGGGCGCTGGAGGCTGGGCTCTGGGTTGGGTGGGAGGGACGCGGTGGAGCGGGGCGCATGGATGTCCTGGAGCCCTACAGGGTAGCGCTCAGAGCGGTCTCATCCCCTGATGGTTCTGTCCGGTCAAGGATGCCGAGGCCAGGAAAGCAGGAGTGGGGCTGGAGGCACTGTGATTCTGCCTTCTGTTTCCCAAAGTGGTCTTTACTTTAGAAAATTCTCCAAGGCCCAGAGAACGACCTCTTTGACCGACCCGCCCAGTGTTCACAGTATGCCGCAGCCCTTGTGCTTGGAGCCCCAGGATGCCCAGGGAACATGTCTCCGCCCCTCCCCGGCCCCTGCCTCCCCTGCACAGCCAGCCCTAGAACTGCTCCATCTGGGTTCAAGGCAGAAAACTAAGAAATGGGCCTGGGTCACCCCCAGAATCCAAGCTGAGAAGCCAATTGGTTGGCGCTCGTTTCCCATGAGTCTCCTAGACGCTGCCACTCATCAGGGTCATTCCATGCCCCGCCCTCGGGGCTTCAGGAGGCTTCCTTGGGGAGAGCCTGCCAGGGCACCCGTGAGCAGCTGGGCATTTCGGAGCAGGCACAGAAGTCGATCAAGACAGGCAGCCCTGTGGGGTCTCCCTGCCTCCCCCGCCCCTCCCAGGAAGAGCCATGGCAGAACCACCCTCCCGTGAGGCAGAGCGAGACAGCTGAAGACGGCTGAGCCGGTGGGGCCCCGATCTCTGTGCTCAGAGCGCAGTCGCCTGGAGAGACCCCAGCCCGGCGGCGGCACCTGCCAGCAGAGAGCTCTGCTGCAGCCCGACGGAAGCAGTCTGGCTTCCTGGGGGCCAGGCTGCGTTGGACCCCAAGGATCCACGGCTCACGAGGACAGACATCCCCATGGAGGAGAGAGAGGGGACCCAGGGCCGGCCGGGCGGAGAGCAGACAGCAGCGAGGAGCAGAGCAGCACCCGGGCCGGGCTGGTCCGCTCTGCTCCGGGGCCTTCGCGTACCTGGGTGGGGGGGCGGGGTGACTGCGGTTCCCAGAGGGATGTGTCAGGGTGCGGTGATAGCGGGGGCCACGCACNGGGCGGGGCGTGGGGCGGGGCACGGCTGGGGCGATTGCGCCGCTGCATCCTGTGCTGCTTTGCTGGGCGTCTAGGCACTTTAATGCCAGTCCCGCCCTAAAGATCGGTCACAACCGAGGGTTTGCGAGTGTGTCCTTGCTCCCAGGCGAGGCCAGCCTGCAGTTCCTGGCTGGTGTTGTTAGTCCAAGTGCTAACATGGTAGAAAAGTTAACACAGCCTCCTATCTGTATCTCTGTGACCTACTGTCTGTCGTCTGTGTTAGTTCACTGGGGCAGCTATACAGAGTGCCATAAACTGAGTAGCTTAAATAGCAGACGTTTGATGTGTCGAAGTTCCGAGGTCCGTACTCAAGGTGCTGGTTGGTTCCTTCTGAGGACGGGGGAGGGGGCCCTGCGCCCAGCCAAGCTGCTCGGGTCGTGGGGGGCCGTCCTCTCCCTGCGTCTTCACGTGTGTCTCTTCATCCAGGCTCCCCTTTTTATGGGGACATCAGTCTCAGAGAACTAGGGCCCACCCTGACTTGATTTTACTCTGTAAAGACCTTGCCTTCAGTAAGATCACATTCTGAAATACTGGGGGTTACTAAAACTTCAACAAATGGATTTTGGAGGCCACAGTCCAACCCATAGCACTATCTGTCCCCCACCTGTGTATCCATCCATCAGTCTATCCATAGGTCTGCCTCTCATCTGTCTGTCACCCGTCTGGCTATCATGTATCAGCCATCTATCATCCGCCTGCCTACCAGACTTACCAGGTCTATTGATCTATCATCTGTCTCTGTATCTGCCGCCCTTCTGCCTCTGGGCCACTGTGCTGCTGCTGAGGGGCAAAGCACACGTCCCCTGGGAGCCGCGCCAGCCCCAGGTGCCCTCATCACCCTGCTGTGACCATGAGCAACCTGGCCCACCCAGGGACAGATTGTGCACAGCCCTGGGGTCAGAAGGACCAGCGCCTCAGGCCACTCTCCCTGGGACACAGAGCTGGGTCTGCTCTGGCGTTTGGTCAAAGGCTGCTCTGAGTTCCCCAGACCACAAGCGGAGGATTTGGTGTACAGAGTTGTCACCTTCAGGAGATCTCTAGCAGCTACCCATGGCCAGCTCACCGCCAGGGAGCAGCTTCTGAGAGGCGCTTGGAAGCCATGTGGCTTCCCGACTCTGCGGCTGCCGGCCGAGTCCACCGTGAGCCAGCTTCTCCCGGGGAGTGCAGGGGAAGGAAGTGCGGCGAGGAATTGTTCCCCGAGGACGGGATCCACCCTGGAGGAGGCCTTCAGAAGGGACAGTGTGGATTTTGTCATCACCGCTACTGAGCACGTCTTCCGAGAGGGGCCGTGTACCAGGGCCTGTCTGTGCTGTGTGCTCAATCACCCCAGTCGTGTCTGACTCTTTGTGACCCCATGGACTGTATACAGTCTGCCAGGCTCCCCTGTCCGTGGGGTTCTCCAGACAGAAACACTGGAGTGGGTTTCCATTTCCTTCTCCAGGAGATCTTCCTGACCCAGGGATGGAACCCAAGTCTCCTGTGGCTCTTGCATTGCAGGCGGATTCTTTACCGCTGAGCCACCAGGGGAATCATTCCTGATACTAGATCTGTTTAACGTCTGCACATTAGTAAGCTGGAGTCACTCTTTCTGCTCTCAGGGTAGGAAGAGAGTTTTAACGAAGTGTCCTGAGCAGGAAAACAGCTTTTCCTAAGGGTCAGAAAACCTATGACAAACCGACAGCATATTGAAAAGCTGAGACATTACTTTGCTGAAAAAGTCCCTATAGACAAAGCTATGGCTTTTCCAGTAGTCATGTACGGATTTAAGAGTTGGACCATGAAGAAGGCTGAGTGCCAAAGAATTGACGCTTGAGAGTCCTTGGACTGCAAGATCAAACCAGTCCATCCTAAAGGAAATCAGTCCTGAATATTCGTTGGAAGGACTGATGCTAAAGCTGAAGCTCCAGTATTGGCCACCTGATCTGAAGAGCCAGCTCACTGGAAAAGACCCTGATGCTGGGAAAGATTGAAGGCGGGAGGAGAAGGGGTCAGCAGAGATGGCTGGACGCTATCACCGACTCAATGGACATGAACCTGAGCAAACTCTGGGAGATGGTGAAGGACAGAGGAGCCTGGCATGCTCAACCAGGGGATCTCAGAGAGTCGGACACGACTTGACAATTAAACAACAACAAACAAGGAGGGTTAGACCCACAAAAAAAAGCCAAGGCGATCCCTGCAAAAGTCACCGTGAAGACAAGCTCCTCCTGGCCACAGGCAGGCAGGACAGGGCTGGTGCCCACGAGGTCCCAGGATACTGATGCCCAAGCCAGTCCCAACAGCAAAACTGGGAAAGAATGTGGAAATGAAAGAAGTCTGTGTGGAGATGGGTAAACTGAACCCCAGCAGTGGGACGCAAGAGCGTTGTCCACCCCCAAACAGGACCAGCCGTCCACCACAGGATGGACGTGCCTCCAAAGACTGCTCGCCCCTCCGTTCTACTCCAGCGGTCAGGAGCCCCTCAAATTCCAGGAGTGACTCTCCCAAATTCCAGGTCTTGTGACCCTGCAGAGGTCACTCTGACATGCCCAGGGGACTCTGGGTGGTCAAGCATGACCCTGGGAGACCCTGGATGGTCATGCATGGTCCTGCGTGATGCTAGGTAGACCCAGATGCCTCTGTCTGCCCTGAGTGGCGTGGGGGAGGGATGGTTAGTAAGGTGGCCGTGAGTAGCCTTTGATGACTGTAGGCAGCTGGGGCTTGTCTTGGAGGCCTGGCTGGTCCTAGATGAGCCCAGGTGGCTGTGGGCGGCCATGGAGACCCTGGTCATCCTCCATGACTGTTAGTGGTCCTGTTTGGCTCTGGGAGACACAGGGTATTTCTGAGTGACCCAGGATGGCCTTCAGGGCCCTATTGGCAGGGGTGGCCCGGGGCGTCCTTGGGTGACCCTCAGTGGCTTGGGACGGCCTTCGTTGACTTGGTGTTTTGTATTCTTGGGTCTCCCTAGATGGCCGTGGGTGGCCCAGGGTAGTGGTGAATTTTTCTGATGGTTTTATTTGGCTGGTGGCCCTGGATACCCCTGGGTTGAATTGTCTTGATGACCCAGGGTGGTCCTAGGGGACCTTATGTGAGCCTGGGTGTCCCTGACTGGCTGTGAGTGATGGCAGGCAGCCAAGGTGGCCCTTGGTTCTCCTGTGTGTCTGCAGGCGACCTCGGGTACCGGGGTGTCCCTGGATGGCCATGCAGGTCTGGTAGGCCTTGGATGGTGTTGGAAGGGGTGGCCCTTCCTCCGAGACAATGGCGGGACCCCCCTCTCGCTCTCCTCCGGGCGTGTTCAGAGGCACTGCCTGGCTGCAGGAAGCCGGGTGCAGCTGCGTCCCGTGGGGAGGGGCGCCGCTGACGGGCCGCGCTCTCCCCCAGGCGTGGGCTACACCGTCATCCTCATCTCGCTCTACATCGGCTTCTTCTACAACGTCATCATCGCCTGGGCGCTTCACTACCTGTTCTCCTCCTTCACCACCGAGCTGCCCTGGACGCACTGCAACCACACCTGGAACAGCCCCCGCTGCTCGGATGCCCGCGCCCCCAACACCAGCTCCGGCCCCAACGACACCCTGAGGACCACGCCCGCCGCCGAGTACTTCGAGTGAGTGGGGTCTCCTCGCGGCCACCGTCCCTCGGAGGGGAGGGCGCCGGCCTGGGGTCACCCGCGGGTCTGTGCTGCCCCTGGGCTGCGGGGAGGCGCCTCCCCAGCCTGTGTCTCGTCCCACTCCCTGGGCTCTCAAGAGGCTTCTTTCTGACCCCACCTCCAGCAGCTCAGCTCCACTCCTGGGGGGAGACCTCGCAGGAAGGGGGACTGGACAGGCCACCCCCCCCGCCCCCCGGGCCAGCTGCCCTTCCCCACGTCCTGAGAGAGGCCACTTCTCTTGAGAAAGGCATTCGCAGTGACTACTGAGGGCTCCTGAAGTTCCTGGTGACTGCAATCTTCCTTTAGGACTGAAATCCTGGTTGGGTACAGTCTGCTCGTTTCTAGGTGGAAATGAGTGCACTGACAATTTAGAAAGTGAACCTCAGCCCAAAATATAATTCCGGTTTAATCGCAGGTGGGCACAATTTCAAAGCTTGTTTTCAGGTAGGAAACCGTGAGCATTAACACGAAGGCCATCTCACTGTGAAAGTGATAAAGTCTGTCCTGGAGGAGGTGATCACACGTCTGGGGCAGAACCACTGGCAGAGGGGCTTCCAGAGTACCCCTTTTATCAGCAGCCGGCAGCCCAGGGTGGTCTGAGGGGCGGGCCCTGTCCCACAGGGTCAGCAGAGCGGGGTGAGACCCCAGATATGCAGGGCAGGACCAAGCCCTCGGTGTCGGGAGCATCTGTCGTGTGGGTGTTGAAGCGACCCTGCCCGGGGGACGAGCGAGTCCACAGACATGCGGACGTCTAGGGTCTAAGGTTGTGTGTTCAGATAGTCGGGGTCTCGTGCTCAGCTCTGGGGGCCCCGCGTGGGGAACATGTCTCTAGGACTGGCCGCTGTGGAAGGCCACAGCGATGGGCAGGGACACAGTGCCAAGGCTTTGGGTGGGGGGCGCTGGGGGGCCTCCAGAGGGGGCCAGGTCCTTCCTCAGAACTTACCAGGAACAACATGGCTAGCATGCGGCTGGTGTGCAGTGGGACCTGTTTAGTTTTTCAAAAGAGACTCCTTTTGGTGGTTTGGGATTAGCAGGTAAAGACGTCTGGAAGGAGGGGAGGGGTGTCTGTGATGGGGAGGTCAGAGGGTCACTGAACACCCGCCTGCCTGGAGAAGGGGGGTCCAAAGCTGGGAGATGAGGGCCTGGTCTCCGGGAGCTCTCAGCAGCGGCCAGTGGGTTTCAGAGGAGGGCTGGAGACAGGGGTCCGCCTGGGGTCGTCCCCATCAGATCCACCTGAGAGACCCTGGGGCAGACATTCCCACGGGCAATGGAAACCCAGTACCATCACCTGAGTGTGTGGTCAGGATCAGAGTGACAAGCAAGCCAGAGGTGGTAGGTTCCTCCAGGAAAGGATGGCAGAGTGTCGCCAGTCGCTCCGCCCTCTGAGGAGTTTGCCGCCTGCTGGCTCGTTGCCACGGGTCCCAGACTTAGGAGTGTCTCGTCCACACAGCAAGGCCTGGGCTCCACGTGTGCTCCCCGCGGTCTGCTGTGCCCACACCTGGTCTAGCCTTGACCTCAGTGTTAGCCTGTGATGGCAGAGAAGGGACCAGAAGGGGAGAGCAGACGGGCTATGGGCAAGTACCTGGGGGCGCCCCGCCCCCAGACCCCCCACCCCAGGGAGTGCCCNCAGACATCCAACCGTAGCTGGAGGTGATCCCGGGACAGAGGCTTCAGTCTTTGAAGGTTTACAATGCAGTCAAAGATCACTAACGACACAATCAATTATTAAACCACGCCAAGAATACCCCCAGGTGATCCTACTAGCAGTGAAGACTGAGTTTCCCTGAGACAAGCTCCAGTGACTGTCAGGTCTGAAAAGGTTTTCTGGAATTTAAACTCACCATATAAAGCCTGGTGGGCTACCATAAAGGCCAACGTAGTTATTAATACAATCACGAAGTTGTAAAGCTGTAAGTCCTACAAAGTGCGAGCAGCCTTCAGAAATCCCAAAATAAGCCTGTATAACTCCAACTCCATAAACACTTATTAAAACCACCTTCACCTACTTTCTAATATACATTTACTGCTGTTCAGTCAGTCATGTCCAACTCTTTGTGACCCCATAGACTGCAGCACTCCAGGCTTCCCTGTCCATCACCAACTCCCAGAGCTTACTCAAACTCATGTCCATTGAGTCAGTGATGCCATCCAACCATCTCATCCTCTGTCGTCCCCTTCTCCTGCCACCTTCAGTCTTTCCCAGCATCAGGGTTTTTTCCAGTGAGTCAGTTCTTCGCATCAGGTGGCCAAAGTATTGGAGCTTCAGCTTCAGCATCAGTCCTTCCAGTAAATATTCAGGACTGATTTCCTTTAGGATTGACTGGTTTGAAAGCTATATATTTAATGCTACAAACTAGCCTCTAAGAGGCCACTTTAACTGTCTCCCTCATGTTTGATATGTTATGTTTTCATTTTCACTAGTTTAAAGTATCCCCTTGTGTGCCTTGTGATTTCTTCTTTGACTCACAGGAGATGTTTAGAAGTTTGTTCTTCGATTTTGAAATATTTGGAGGTTTTCTAGGCACATTTCTGTTATTGACATCTAACTTAATTCTGACTTCGTGAACTAATACATTTTAAAACTTCATTATTTCTAAATCTACTGAGGCTTGTCTTCTTGCCCAGTATGTGGTTTATCCCTGGGTGTTCCACGTGCACTTAAAAACAATGTGTTTCCTGCTGCTGGTGGGTGGACGTGTCAGCTGGGTCGTGCCCGCTCCGATGTCCTTACCGTCACCTTGTCTGTCCGCCGCTGTGACAGGCGTGCTGAACTCTAGACTATAGCTCTGCATTTGCCTGCTTCTCCTCACAGAGAGGGTAGGCCTGTGTCTCCACTAGGGCTGGGGGCCTGGCCGTTCTGGAGCGGGGAACAGGGGTCCCCAGGCAGTCAGGCCAGGGCCTTGCTGCCGTGCCTTGCATGGGAAGGCAGGTCTCTGGGCCGGCGAGGGCGGGGAGGCAGCCCGAAGGACCGCATCCCCGTCCTCCGTAGGCGCGGCGTGCTGCACCTCCACGAGAGCCAGGGAATCGACGACCTGGGCCCTCCCCGCTGGCAGCTTACCTCCTGCCTGGTGCTGGTCATCGTCCTGCTCTACTTCAGCCTCTGGAAGGGGGTGAAGACGTCCGGGAAGGTGAGGGGGCAGGGCTTGCCAGCTGGGGAGTGGACAGGTGGCTGTGGTTGAGGAATGGTGTCAGGAGAGTGGTTTCAGCACAGGGGGAATCACAACAAAATATCTGTGCTGATGAAGATATTTCAGTCCTTGGCTGGGTGCCCAAAGTAACGATCGCCCAAACGCACCCATCACTTGGGCTAACACTCCTAGTCATGTTCCAGCCCCCGAAGCCTTCTAGTGGTGCTATGCTCTGCCTCGCCCATGACCCCGAGTCCATCTTTCACACACGATCCACATTTGCACAATCAGTGAGATGCAAATCGCCCGCATCTCACTCATTGGAAATCCAGACACTGCTGCCTACAGCCATGGCCCAAATGCAGACAGAGAAGGCCCCATCCCTGCCAGACTGTCCTGTTTCAATCCCCGGGAGAGACAAACAGGAAAGAGGGTACTGGGCGGTCCCTCTCCGGGGGCATTTGCTGAGCTGGCATCCTGGGACTGTCCAGGACACCGGGCTTGCTAATCCAAGGCCCTCTGTCTGAGCACATGCCATCAGGGTGACCCTGTGCCCAGCCCTGCCCACGGTGGCCAGTGCAGTCGTGACGCATGCTCTCCCCAGGTCGTGTGGATCACAGCGACCATGCCGTATGTGGTCCTCTTTGCACTGCTCCTGCGAGGCATCACTCTCCCGGGGGCTGTGGACGGCATCAGAGCGTACCTGAGCGTGGACTTCCACCGGCTCTGTGAGGCCTCGGTAAGTGCACCCTCCACTCACGGCCCGTTCAGCGGGGCTGGCAAGGTGGGCCGTTAGTCTTTCTGCATCTCGGGCAGGAAACGCTTTGCGTGGGGTGACCTGCCGCGCCCAGCAGAGTTCACTGTCCAGGTGAGAAGGGGCCGTGTGGGCACAGCACGGAGCTGAAGGGACCAGGGTAAGAGGATTAGGAGAAGGGGTCACCCCGGCCTCTGCAGGGAGAAGCCAGGGCAGCTGCCCCTTGGCCTCCTCACCTGGGCCATCCACTCCCTGGAGGAGCCCTCCTCGGTCCTCAGATGAGCACCTGGGGGTGGGGGTGGGGCGCCGTCTGTGCCCAAGGGTGTTGTTGCCCAGCTGGACCGAAGCCCGAGCTCTGGCCCCGGCATATCCTGAGCTGGGCTGAGGTGCTAGCTTGCGTGAACCAGGCCCACCGCGGGGAGCCAGACTTTGTGGTCAGACACCCCGATGCCCACACAAGGTGGTGATGTGACCATCTCGTGGACAAACTCAGTCCACCGTCCGGCTGCGGGTTTCCTCAGCAAAGGACGACATCATCTGGGCTGAAATACCAGGGCTCGGCGGGGCAGTGGAGGAGGGTGGCCGGGGAGGAAGAGAGAGAGGAAGAGGTGGCAGGGTGACAGCCCCGGGGGGTGGGGGTGGTCACTGGCGGGAGAAGGGGTCATTGGAAATCCAGGTGGACTACACTCGGGCAGCTCTCTAGACATGGGGCCCCAACAGCCACCCGGGGAGACTGGGCCACTGGGAGGGGCAGTCTCGGCTGGGGCATGGGGGCCCCAACGCTGCCAGGTTGTGAGTCGGGGGCAGCGCTCATGGAGGGGAGGAGGTTCCGTGGGGTGGAGGGCTGTGGGCAATGGGAGCAAAGCAGAAGAAGGGGCAGTCGGCAAGGCTGTGAGCCCCCAGGAGCCCCGGGGGAGGGGAGATGCAGAGTGGAGGAGCAGAGAGAGGAGGGCACCTTGGCCATGGGCCCACAAGCCCACAGGGGGAAGGCAGCCGTGGGCGGCCCCGGGGAGCCCCCCAGGCAGCCCACCTGTGAAGCCCATGAGAGCTGCACACGTGTCTCCACGGAGCCAAGGGAGACGGACACGGGTGGCTAGGGGAGCGTGAGGTCAGTGGGGGTCCTGGGGCCCCACCGCAGAGCTGGGCCCAGGGCGCCGATGCATCAGTGGAGTGTCGTCCTCGGGAAACCCCACAGTGGGCGAGGTGTGCTGGTGGGAGGAGGTGGCCGTGGTGTCAAAGGCCGGGTGGGTTGTGACCTGGAAATCAGAGAAGAGTCAGGTGTCAGGGGGAAGAACGTACAGAACAGCTATCAGCCGTGTGAACAGATTCGTCTGTAAAGCAGAAGGAAGTGGAGACCAGAGGTTGGCACAGGTGAGGTTGATAGGCAGACGGATAAGACAGACAGACAGCAGAGTTCAGATGGATGGATGACAGGGAACAGACAGGCAGACAGTGGATGGTGGGTGGATGACAGACGTCGGTGGCAGGCAGTGAGGAGTGGGACTGCCCTGAGTGTCCCCTCCTCTAACATCCCGTAAGCGTGGGCAGGAAGGGACAAAGTCAGGACAGAGCTGTGCACAACCGCTGGGTTCCTGGGAGCCCTTGGGCCCAAAGGCCTGGTCCCTGCACCCCCAGCTCAGAGGGCAGAGCCATTCCTGTCCCCCCCCCACAGGGTCCTGGCTGACCTTTGCACCGCCGCCTCCAGGACGAGGCGGGGGTGGGCCTCACCAGCTTGGCAGCCATCCTCTGCTGTCCCTGGGGCTGCTCCAGGCCCAAGTGCTGCCTGGACACCTCTCCCCAGGGTCAGGGTGGCCTCCCTCAGAGGTTGAGTGGCCCTGGAATCTTCCTGGGGGCTGGGCAGTGTGAGGGCAGGTCCCATTAACTCCCCTGGGATGTGATTAGGGGCTGGCTCAGATTGGGATGCAGGCCCCCAGCACCTTCCCAGGCTGTCTGTCCCCTGGGGGTTCAGAGGTAGCGACTCGGTCCAGGGGCCACAGTGGGAGGCCTGGCCAGGGTCCCCTCTGGTGCAAGCCAGCGGGATGGGGGCGAGTGGCCAGGGCAGAAGGACCGTCAGCTCTGTCCCCTCTCGTGTCCCTGGCGCCACAGGCCCTCTGACATGGAGATGGACCTCCATCTGGGGGCCATTTGTAGGTCTTCATGGGGACGAGGGCACCCCCTTTGGGGTCAGTGCCCCTGTCCTCGGTCATGTCCAGGCTCTCGGCCATTCATCTGCAGCTCTTGAGCCCCTCTGCTGGGCAGGTGGGGTCTGGGGTGGGACCCACACTGTGCTGTCCTGGGGAGGGGGGACTCCATCCCAGCAGGGGGAATGAGTCCAGGCAGTAAAGGAAGGGCCGGCCTGGGTCGGCCCCAAGAGGCTGCCCAGCGGGTCCCAGGGTGGGCTGTGGGCGGGACCCAGGCTGGGTCCTGGGGCAGCAGTGAGCAGAGGCCTGGACAGATGGCCGGGAGGTGCCTCTGGGTGGGTGAGCCACACGTGCTAAGGCTCTGGGGTGACCACTGGCCACAGAGGACCTGGGATTGCAACAAGGCAGGGGCCCCCAGTCCCCGGGCCACCAGCCCGTGTCTGCAAAAGCCTGCTGCCCAACAACCAGCACCTTGACCCCCTGCCCACCCAGCCACTCCAGGCCTCGAGCTAAAGCCTGGTCATGCTATTCTCAGTGTTGGGGTGACCCGGAGGCTCTGGGTGTGCTGCCCAGAGGACTGAGCCACATTGGTCCTGGTGTAAGGACTCCGTGTCCAGCCCCCTCAGTGGGTCATGCTCAGGTCAGCTGCCCTGTGCCCCCAGTCAGGGGCTCTGAAGTCACAGCTAGGGAACCTGGCCTACAGGCCTCATCTCGGGCTGGGGGACTTTGGGAACAGCCCCCAGGACCCGCCCATCCCCACCTTTCACGCAGCGGGCCTGGCCCATCCCCGAGGGCAGGTGTCCGCTGTCCTCCTCACCCCCGCCCCAGGCTCTGCAGGGCCCAGGGGCGCCCACATCACCATCACCGGGTCGTAGGGTGGTCTCTGCACCACCCTGACCCGAGCAGTTCGTGTCCGAAGTCTGAAATAGCGCCTCGGTCCAGTATGGGCCACATGGCCTCATTGGTCACGTGTGTCAGCTGCCCGGATGTCACCTGTGCCACCTCCAGTGAGTGCAGAGCTTTGGAGCCACGCTGGCGCCACGGGCCTTTCTGCGTGTGCCGTCGTGGGCTTCCGCGGGAAGGCTGGGGGGGGGCGGGCGCTGGGTGGAGACACCAGCATCACACAGCCCTGTCATAAATTCCTGCTNGGAGCCACGCTGGCGCCACGGGCCTTTCTGCGTGTGCCGTCGTGGGCTTCCGCGGGAAGGCTGGGGGGGGGCGGGCGCTGGGTGGAGACACCAGCGTCACACAGCCCTGTCATAAATTCCTGCTCTTACCCGGGTCGTGGGCCCACTGAAGTGACCTCAGGCCCCGCACCAGAACGCAGCCGCCTTCTCCTCAGGCCCTCTCAGGTTTATTCCCTGAGGTGACATTTGCTCACTGACAGTGATGCCGAGTTTAAGTATGACTGTTCCTCAGAGCCCGTGGCGCTGAGGGCCCAACCCATGACCCCGCCTCTCCCCAGGCTGGCCGTGGCCCCACGGGGACCGCTCCCGTCGGGGACGGCTCACCCCACTCTGTCTCCCTGTGGGGACCGCTCACCCCGCTCCGTCTCCCTGTGGGGAACGGCTCACCCCGCTCCGTCTCCCTGTGGGGCCACTCACCCGGCTCCGTCTCCCTGTGGGGACGGCTCACCCCGCTCCGTCTCCCTGTGGGGACGGCTCACCCCGCTCCGTCTCCCTGTGGGGAACACTTACCCCGCTCCGTCTCCCTGTGGGGACGGCTCACCCCGCTCCGGATCCCCTCAGGGCCTGCTCACCCCACTCTGTCTCCCTGTGGGGAACACTTACCCCGCTCCGTCTCCCTGTGGGGACAGCTCACCCCGCTCCATCTCCCTGTGGGGACGGCTCACCCCGCTCCGGCTCCCCTCAGGGCCTGCTCACCCCGCTCCGGCTCCCTGTGGGGCCGCTCACCCTGTCTCTCCGCTCCTGCAGGTCTGGATCGATGCAGCCATCCAGATATGCTTCTCGCTGGGTGTGGGCCTTGGGGTGCTCATTGCCTTCTCCAGTTACAATAAGTTTACCAACAACTGCTACAGGTGAGCCCCGGGCTCTGAGAGAGGCCTGTGGAGTCCCGTGGGGGCGACTGACCCAGCGGGGGGAGTGTCCCTGACTGGGAAACTCTGTGTCCCTGGGTGAGGGGAGGGGAAATGAGCTGTGCTTACAGCCCCTTAACCCGCGCATGGAAATGAGACGGGAAGCGATGGGCCAGGGCTAGTTCCTGCTGAAGGGAGGCTTTGAAGCAGGAAGNGGGAAACTCTGTGTCCCTGGGTGAGGGGAGGGGAAATGAGCTGTGCTTACAGCCCCTTAACCCGCGCATGGAAATGAGACGGGAAGCGATGGGCCAGGGCTAGTTCCTGCTGAAGGGAGGCTTTGAAGCAGGAAGACGCTGTCTCCTCCCTGGGGGAGGCTTCTCAGGCCCCCCCAGGCCCCTCCTCTGCCCAGCTCAGCCGCCCCATCCTCCTAGCATCCAGGGTCCGGCTCCTCACCCCGTCCCCCACAAGGAAGGGCCTGTGCGTCTCCCCACCTGGCCTTCACTGAGGGAGCCGGGGCCCCGGGGCACCCCAGACCCCGCGGAGCCCCCGGCAGAGTCAGCACCGGGACAGGCAGGAGCGTGGCCGTGGCACGTGCCAGAGCCCCAGCAGCCTGCCAGCCGGCACGGCCGGGCCCAGGAGGACCTGAGCGGCCTGCAGCCACTTGCCGGCCCAAAATCCTTCTAAAAACACAGAAAGGATTTCCTCCGGGACTGCTTTCTTTGACCTTTGAGCCAGTATTTGTCTTCTTTCATATCGTGAGGATAAAAATGCGGTTAAAAATACAAAGGCAGTGTGCGCAGCAGAATGGCCAGACTGACCCCTACCCAGAGGTCCACACAGAGGTGATGTCTGGATGGCAGGCCAGACAGCGGCTCCCGAGCTCACCCTGTGCCCACCCGGGTCTGTGAAGGTCCTTGCACTCGGGCACCTGGGAGGGCTGGCCCCGCAGTGCCCCCTCCCTGCTCTGAATTCTTGGCCCTCAGAGTGGGGTCCCCGGGCCAGCATCCCTGACCCCCAGGCATGTAGAGGGAACACAGCATCGGGGGCCCACCAGACCCACCACGTCAGCACCTGCATCTTAACAATTTCCTGGGAGGCATCTCCAAGCCCTGCCTGGCAGCCCTGTGGGTCATGGTGGGGAGCCCGTGGTCACCTGGGCTGCCCACCAGAGCCCAGCTTTGCCTGTGGGATCGTCTCGCCATCAGCGCTGAGTCGAGAGTCCCAGGAGCTCCTTGGTCCCCAGGCAAGCGTTGTGGCCAGCGCCCAGAGCTGCTCAGCAGGGGGTCCAGGTGGGAGGCTCACCACTGTCACCGGGCACCAGCCTCCCTCCAGCAGGGCAGCCCAGGACAGGCTCTGGGGTCACAGGAGGGGCCGGCCTGCACGTCCGGGGAGCGCCCCAAGCCCGCCGGCACCAGACAGCCAATTACGAATAATGACGGGAAATTGCAGTGGCGCCCGGCCGGGCTGGGACAGCGTGTCTTGTTCCTGCAGAGATGCGATCATCACCACCTCCGTCAACTCACTGACGAGCTTCTCCTCTGGCTTCGTGGTCTTCTCCTTCCTGGGGTACATGGCCCAGAAGCACAGCGTGCCCATCGGGGACGTGGCCAAGGACGGTGAGTGGTGAGGTCCCTGCCCGCCTGCTCCCAGCCGCCCAGTTCTCAAGTGCTTCCCTGGCCACCCAGTTCTCAAATGCTTCCCTGGAAGCTGAGAGGGACGTGCGCGGGCGCCCAGGGCCCTTCCCAGGAGCAGCTGACACAGCGGAGAGCAGGGTACCTGGGCACACAGCACCCACCACCTCCATGCGCTCCCAGCTCCAGCCTCCTCGGTCCTGCCTGCTGGACGTCCAAGGCCGGGTCGAGGTTGGTCCTGCAGCCACTCGGGCTGCAGGGTGAGGATCCTGTTCCCCCCACCTGGTGGGGGACGTGCAGCTGAGGGCTCGGAGCCGTTCCAAGCGGCACAGACGCTGGACCTCGGTGTGGTCAGCCAGAAAGAGGCTGGGCTGGTTTGGACACCAGCAGTTACTCTGTTCCGAAGCTTTTCCCCCAGCCCTCCAGGGGCCTTGGCATATACACATGGGAGTAGGGTAATAGCAGAGAAACCCCCGGAGTCTCTGGCACACGGTGGCGACAGAGACCCCTGTTCCCAACCTGCTCACCCAGCCGATGTGGATAGGAGTGTCCGCAGACGAGGGGTCAGCGGAGGAGGGCGGGCAGCAGAGTCGTGGGCACCAGTGACTGGCGACACGTGGGTGACATGGGGAGCAACCTGGGCCAGCAGGAGAGGACTGGGGGCCCTGGGCCAGAACAGGGTGCTGGAGGGCCCTGATTGCTGCGCCCTGGGCATTCCGTGTTGGGGGAAGGTCTGCTGGTGCTAGATCCTGGGTGGAAGGCATGACTGAGACAGTCTGGAACTGGGTCAGTCCAGGACCTGGGCCCGAAATTGCTGCTGGCCCCACTGGCCTGCAGGGTGCTCCTCTCCTCCTGGGTCTTCTTACTCTTGAGCAGGAGGGTGACGTTGGCAGAGCAACCAAGGAGAGCAGGGGCCTGATCCCACTGGCGCCCTGAGCGCTCAGTGGGTCAGCCCATCAGTCCATCTGTCGAGTGTGGGAGCCCCACTTGGAAAAAGTGGGGAACAGAGTTTGGAGCCGGGCGGACAGGCCCCTCTGAGTCTGGCAGAAAAGCTGGGGACCCGGATGGATTTCCACGTGCTTCCAAATCCACTCTCCTCCAGGAAAAAAAATCCAATAAAGGCAGGAAAGGGAACCTAATGCAAATAAGGACGGAGCAGTGGAATTTACTCACCATTGCATTTATGCATTTTCACCAGCTTTTGCCCTTTATTATGATAAATAGCAATAGTTTGCAAGAATCCCCATTAACCCCTGAAAGTTAGCTGACCGTCTTCATTGCATTTCCCAGAAAAGCAAAGTAAATGTCATTTATGGCTCTAATTCTCAAGAAAACAGGGGGAAATATTAACCCAGGAGCAAAAATGAGAGGTGAGGATACTGGCCTTAGTCCAGCCAAGCTGATGGGCATCTTCCAGGCTCCTGGTGCTTAGACTTTAGGGCTTTTCAAACCATCCTCCTGTCCCATTCGCATCAGAAACTTCACTCTTTCCTGCGGTGTTGGGAGCCCCAGAGGCCAGGTCAACACCAGGCCCCCTGACAGACCTTGGAGGTGGAGCCTGGCTCCAGCCTTTGATGCTCTAGAAGCATCAGTAAGTGCCCATTCCTATCGTTCCTATCGGCTGATGCCTGACCCAGGCTCCACTGAGAACGGGGAACCAAGAAACTGGTAAGTTGTACGTGCGTGAGCAAGCTCTCAGAGGCCACGCAGCACTTCTTGTAAAACTAATCCTGAAAGTGATCAACTGGCAGTTTCCTGTGAGGATATTCTTTACTCTGGGGTCATTTGCAGTCAAAGTGCCCGAGTCCTGACCGCTCCCACCCCTCCCCACCTCCACCCAGATCCCACCTGCTGGGGGTGAGGGAGCTGGCGTGGGCCCCGGTGTCCCCACTCCCAGGAGTGTGTCTGAGAGACAGTCCGAGGGCACAGAACCACGCCGTGTTGCAGGGAGCACCTGGAGAAGCCGCGCTAAGTTGTGGCATCTCTGTAACAGCAGGTGGTTTTTAAAGATCACACTTAAGAGTCGTATGCTGGCACAGAAAAGAATACCGTGTGGGCTGCCTGACCGCAGCGAGTGTGAGTGTGAGTGTGTGAGCAACAGGCACAGGAAAGCAACCGGGAGGCCCCCAGGGTCTGGAGAGAGGAAGCACAGGGCCCCCTGGGCAGCCCCTCCCACCCTCCAAGCACAGGGCCCCCCCGGGCAGCCCCTCCCGCCCTCCCCCTGCTGGGGTGCCCCCTCTTGTAGGGGCACAGGCTGTGGAAAGGGTCGAGGGCTAGTGGGGACAGAGCAGAGCCCTCGCTCCAGAGTCCTGGGCCCTGAACTCAAGGAGGGAGGGCTTTGCAAGGAGAGCAGTTTTTGCACCACCTTAGGGCCGGGTTGTGGGCGGGGGGTACCCGGAAGGTCAGCCCGGGGTAAACGGAGGGTCTGCTCTCAGGGCCTGGGCTGATCTTCATCATCTACCCTGAGGCGCTGGCCACGCTTCCGCTGTCGTCCATCTGGGCCGTGGTCTTCTTCGTCATGCTGCTGACCCTGGGCATCGACAGCGCCGTGAGTGATCTCCACGCTCCGCGTGCCCTGGGGCCCCGCTGGGGACAGCCAGCTCACCTGCCGCCCTCGGGGGCCAGCCTGGAGACCCCCGGGGCCCCACAGTTCCTGGGGAGGGCTCTTCAGACCAGCTCTCCCCTGCTGCCCCTGGGAGCGGGGCGAGTCCCTGGCAGTGGGGGGAGAGTAGGGTGCTGCAGGAAATGGGGGCCACACAGCACCCAGCGAGGCCCGCCCTGACTCCAGCTTTGCCTGCCCCGTGGCCGCCAGCATGGGGGGGTGCCCTTTCAGGGTTGGGGGGGCAAAGGCTCCCACCTGGCCCACTGGACATCCATCCTGTGGTGGCCCTGTGGGCCCTGGGGAGGCAGACTCCCTCATGCTCCTCCTCCACGCAGCCTTCTGGGCACCAGCAGCTGAGATCTCAGGTCCCGTGTTCCCCTCCCCCCAGCTTCCTGGAAGGAGGAAGGAGCCCCCAATCCTTCCCCTGTGAAAGCTGCTTCTCCCAGTCAGCCTTCTCACCCGCCCCCTGGGTGGACACCACCCATGGTGGGTGAGTCCCGCCAGCCCCAGAGGAGGTAGTCCCAAAAGAGCAGGGCAGAGGCTTCTTGGAGGCCAGACTTCCTGGAGACACCCCCTCTGGACAGTGCTGAGAGTCAGGAAGGCCGCGTCAGAGAGGACACAGCCAGTGGCCAGGCCAGGCCTCCTGGGAACAGAACTCAGCTGTGCCGGGGGGCAGACACTTGCTTAGAGAAGCCGGGCGGAGCTGAGCCTTTGTGGCGACGCAGGGGGTGGTGTGACTCTGGCCCCGCAGCTCCCCACCAGAGGGCGGGACGTCCTCCGTCTCCAGTGGCCGTGTCGGGGGAGCAGCCCTTGGGGGCCAGGGGTGCTCTCTGCCCCCCGGGACCCTGTGCGGCTCCCGGCTGAGCACGTGGGTGGAGACGCCCGTAGGGGGGAGCAACCCTTGCGGGGGGTGCTCTCTGCCCCCCGGGACCCCGTGCGGCTCCCGGCTGAGCACGTGGGTGGAGACGCCGCAGGCGGCCCCCAGCCCCCGCTCTGTCCTGGCTGCAGATGGGCGGCATGGAGTCCGTGATCACCGGGCTCGCCGACGAGTTCCAGCTGCTGCGGCGGCACCGGGAGCTCTTTACGCTGCTCGTCGTCCTGGCCACCTTTCTCCTGTCCCTTCTCTGCGTCACCAGCGTGAGTGCCCGCGCCGCCCCGGACGCCATCTCGTGAGCGCCTGCTGCGGCAGAGCGGGGCGCCCCCACCCCCACCAACAACCCGTGGCCTGTGATGACCCACGGGTGTCCGTGCTCACATACCCGGTGGCCTTGAGTCAGGCAGGGCGGCGCCCACGGCCACTCAGAGCCCCCGCGGTCGCATGCAGGCCCCAGGCGCCTGAGGGCCTGGTCCCCAGTGTTTCAGCACCTGGATAGCTCCCTGCGAGGCGCCCTTGGGTTTGTGGGGCAAGAGGGTTGGGGGGCTTCCCTGGGGGCTCAGCTGGTAAAGAATCCACCTGCAATGCAGGAGACACTAGTTCGATCCCTGGGTTGGGAAGATCCCCCGGAGAAGGGCAAGGCTGCCCACTCCAGTATTCTTGGGCTTCCCTGGGGGCTCAGCTGGTAAAGAATCTGCCTGCAGTGCAGGAGAGCTGGGCTCACTCCCTGGGTTGGGAAGATCCCCCGGAGAAGGGCAAGGCTGCCCACTCCAGTATTCTTGGGCTTCCCTGGGGGCTCAGCTGGTAAAGAATCTGCCTGCAGTGCAGGAGAGCTGGGCTCACTCCCTGGGTTGGGAAGATCCCCCGGAGAAGGGCAAGGCTGCCCACTCCAGTATTCTGGCCTGGAGAATCCCATGGACTATATAAGACATGGGGTCACAAAGAGTCGGACACGACTGAGCGACTTTCACTTTCACCCGGGCTTGGGACAGGTTTCTCCGGGGGCGGGGCCCAGGGCCCCCTTCATCACAGAGGCTCTGCCATGGTTGGCATTTACCGGTTTTCATCCCTGACTGTACCAGGAACCCTGGAAAAGCGGGGGAGAGGTTGGTTGTTTTGTAATAGCCAGGTTCCCACGTGGCTGCTCGTGGACTGAACTTAAGTTTCTTTCCTGAGTGACACTCCATAGAGAGAAAAATAGAAGGTGTCTGTAAGCTGGCACCTCAGGCCAGGTTCTTGTTTTCGGAGGAGCACTTCTGCAGGCACCCCGAGCTTAGCAGGTGCTCCCCTCCGTCCCCCCACTCAGGGCGGCATCTACGTCTTCACGTTGCTGGACCACTTTGCGGCCGGCACGTCCATCCTCTTCGGGGTGCTCATGGAGGTCATCGGGGTGGCCTGGTTCTACGGTAAGAGCAGAGCCCTCAGTGGGATGGCGCGCTCCCACTGGTGGGACCAGCGCCTCTGCTGCGTTGTGAGCGGTCAGCCCAGCATCCTCGGGCTGGTCACTGGGCACCCAGCGGCCCTGCGTCGTGGGCAGGCTAGCATCACAGAGTGGGGCTTGGCTGAGGCTGTTCGGTTGGATCCGTGAAGGCAGTGAGCTTGGACGGCACCCTGAAGCTCCCCTGTGGTCAGGGCACTCGGTGTGATCCTGGGCTGGGCCTGGAAGAGGATGACATGCTCGGCTCTGGGTGCCGCCTGCCGGTGGAGGCAGTCTCTGCGCCCCGCTGAGCAGAGCCCCGGCACCAGGGAGGCAGGGGAGCTGGCCGAGGGGACGTGTCACTGGGCACGGGTCACCAGGGCCCTGAGCTGATGGGAGGGAAGAGACAGTAATGTTCAGTGCGTGCGCCAACGCTCAGTCTCAGGCCAGAGCTCCTGACTCCGCACGACGGCTCTACCGGACTCCTGACCCCCCTCTCCCGGGTCCAGCACTCATCCGTGCGTTAGGACTGGGAGCCCCTCAGGGTGGGGGACCAGCTGGTCAGCAGGTGATCCCCAGAAGAGGCCCAGCCTGCAGCCGTGTGCCCCTGCCCCTCCTGCGTGTCCACCGTGTTTCCCTGGATGTCCTGATGCAAGTCTGACAGCAACAGAAAGCCGCCCTGCAGAAGCTGTGTCCTTCCCGGCCCGCCACCCGTAAACCCCGGGCTAGCTCTCCGTTTCTCTCCCGGAGCTTGGGTCCTGGTACCGCTTGGCTCACCTGACCAGGCATTCTTGAGGACATTAGCCATGAAGGCCCAAGATAACAGGCATACTTCTTGCATGTGTGTGCGCTCCGGCCAAAGCCAGAGGTCTGTGCTGTTCAAGAACCGCAATCTTGAGGCAGCCCTGGTGCCACGTGAGGGGTCACGACCTCTGCTTCAGCCCTGGAGTTATAACCCAAAAAGCACTCTAGCATTGAGAGGCTTAACAGACAAATAGTTCGTATTCCAAGAACGTTTTTCCAATTACATTCCCTTTTCTACAGAAAAGGGAAATATCAGCCTCTCTGTACTTTCACCGGCACCTGGAATCAACACCTCATCTACAGTTTTAGATTGTAATCTCCCCAAATCAACCCTAAATGTCCATTGGAAGGACTGATGCTGAAGCTCCAATACTTTGGCCACCTGATGTGAAGAACTGACTCATTGGAAAAGACCCTGACACTGGGAAAGACAAGGCAGGAGGAGAAGGGGACGACAGAGGATGAGATGGTGAGATGGCATCACCAACTCGATGGACCTGAGTTTGAGCAAGCTCCGGAAGATGGTGAAGGACAGGGAGGCCTCGAATGCTACAGTCCATGGGGTCGCAAAGAGTCAGACACGAATGAGCGAATGAACAACAACATCCCAAAATAAAACCTCAGAGAAAGAAAGTGCCGCAAAGGTATCCAGCAGCCATGAACACAGCAGAGCTGGTGGAGGCCCAGGGGAGGTGGCCTTGCCGCAACCACACGCTCCCCACAGCCTCCGAAGGCAGAGACCGGGCTTTCTGCAGAAAGCAGTTCACAGCCAGAGCACGCTGGCCTCTCAGTGCCCTAAGGTCCCTGTGGTCTCCGGATGGGCCGGCATGGGAGGGGCTGCCTGTCCCGGACCTGCCCGGGAGGCCCTGGGGGACACCCCGTCTCTGCGGGCCTTTAGGTTCAGCCTCCACCCTGCCTCCTCATTCCCCCTCTGATCCGAGGTCTGGGGATGGGGCCGGGTGTGCAGAGGGAATCCTGCGTGGAGCTGTCTCTCTGATGTCCCTGTGTGTGACGTGAGACTGTCCGCAGGGTGGGAGAAATCATCGTGAGATCTGGAGAAACTGGCCCATCCAGCTTCTAGCAGGAGCTTCCCCTACCATGTGATGACTGTATACGTGTAATGAGATATAGTTCAGCCCTAAGCAGTGGGACACTCGGACAGCTGCTCCTGCGTGGGGGCGTGTACAGGACGCTGTGCTCGGCTGTGCTCGGGGACACGAGCCGGTCACAGAAGGGCAACTCCCCCGGGAGGTCCCTGGATGGGCCAGGGTCACAGAGGCTGGAAGCAGGACCGGGAGGGGCCGGGCCCTCAGCTGGGGAAGGTGAGGAAGGCCTGGGGATGGTCGCGGGCATGGCCGCACAGCTGACTGTGCTTCAAGCCGCTGAGCTGTGCGCGCGCAGTGGTTAACACGGAAAGCTTCACGTTATGTATGTTTTACCGTGAATTTTGTAAAGGAAAAAAATGTTCATTACAGAGGGGAGGCAGGGGTGGCCGCGGGCCTCGGAGAGGAGGGTGGGAGCCCCACAGCCTCTCCCTGGCGGCCGTCAGTGACGCAGGGTCACCCTGGGGACGCGCACAGGCGCGGGCGGCGTGACCCCCCAGGCGGCCTGGCAGCACCGAGCGCCGGGCTCCGGGGGGCGGGGGGCCTGTCTGCGGGCGGGCCGCGCTGACGCCCTGCCTGGGCCCCTGCAGGTGTGTGGCAATTCAGCGACGACATCAAGCAGATGACCGGGCGGCGGCCGAGCCTGTACTGGCGGCTGTGCTGGAAGTTCGTCAGCCCCTGCTTCCTCCTGGTGAAGCCCCGCCCCTCCGCCCCGCCCACCCGTGTCCACGGGCCTGCTGGTGGGTGGGTGGCCCACAGCCGAGGGGGGCCGGGCTCCGGGGGGCGGGGGGCCTGTCTGCGGGCGGGCCGCGCTGACGCCCTGCCTGGGCCCCTGCAGGTGTGTGGCAATTCAGCGACGATATCAAGCAGATGACCGGGCGGCGGCCGAGCCTGTACTGGCGGCTGTGCTGGAAGTTCGTCAGCCCCTGCTTCCTCCTGGTGAACGGGAGTGGACGGGGTTCACTCACGGCGCGAGCCTGGGCCTCCCCGACACGTGCAGTGACTGCTCCTGGTCTGGGCCAGGCTGGGCAGGCTCAGGCTCGGGGGCAAGTACCCCTGCGGCCTGTTGGTTGGAACCCGGCCGTGCGTCCACACCACGGCTGCAGGGCAGGGTGGCCGCGGCCAAGTTCCGGTGGCTCAGGACCCCTGACTGTCCCCCCTACCCAATGGGGCCGTCCAGCCCTGAGCACAGAGGCCAGGCAGATGGGGACCAGCAGATCTCAGCCCCCTCCCCCACCCAGCCAGCCCAGCCCCCCGGGTGTGAGGGGATACGGGCAGCCCCAACCCCCAAGGGCCAGCAGGAGAGCACGTGGAGCGGAGGCGAGGCTCCTGGTCCAAGCCCACTCAGGGGTCACTGCTCCTGCTTCCAGACAGCGAGGTGTCCTGCTTCTCCCCACGTGGTAACCCGGGGATTATGGAGGGCAGCGAGAGAGCCCCTCCCATCAGCCCTGAGACGCAGGGGGATGTGCCCCCCAGCGCCAGGGCCTGCTGCCTCAGGCTGTCGTGTGGGGGAGCCTCCTCCAAAGTCCCCGCTCGGGAGCCCCTGGCCCCAGCTGCCCCTGACCCTGTTGCTCGGTTTCAGTTTGTGGTCGTGGTCAGCATCGCGACCTTCAGGCCCCCGCACTACGGAGCCTACGTCTTCCCCGAGTGGGCCAACGCGCTGGGCTGGGCCATCGCTGCGTCCTCCATGTCTGTGGTCCCCATCTACGCCGCCTACAAGTTCTGCAGTCTGCCTGGCTCCTCAAGGGAGGTGCGTACCTGCACAGGGCCCCCTCTCCTGCTCTCCCCTCTCCCCCTCTCCTGCTCGAGGCTGTCGGCGAGGTCAGGTGGGACTCGCAGGCCTACTCCCACCGGCTGGTCTCGGACCAGCAGGAGAGTCTGGAGTGGGCGGTGACTATGCTAGGCATGAGGGCTGGGGGTGCGGGCGCTGTGCCTGTGTGTGTATCTACACCCATGTGTCTCTCTGGCTGTGTCGTGTGTGTGAGCCTGTGTGTCCTCACGTGGGCAGGCACATGTGTGTCCTCGCCTGTGGGTGTCTCTGGGTGTGAGCACGCCCGCTCTGCATTGTGCGGACGGTCATGGTCTCAGGGTCGGGACGGACTCGGGACCAAGCCCACCCAGGGCTGAGCCAGGGCAGTGGGGACGCCAGGCAGGACCTCCATGAGGGCGGAGGTGGCTGGGCCTCTGCGTCAGGCCCACTGCTGTGTCCCCTGTGGAGCGGGGTGTGGGGGGTGACCTGTGACCCGAGCACAGGGGTCTGTCTGCCTCCCACTGTGGCGCCGGGATTCCTGGAAGAAGAGATGGAGACCATAGCCCCACACGTGCTCTCGGAGCCCTCAGACGCTGCTCGGTGCCCGATCCCAGTCTCTCTGAGGAACACGGGGAGTGAAGCCCCTGGCTATACCCAGCAGGTCCAAGCGTTCCCCGAGGGCCACGCGGCATCTCTCTGGCTTGGACGCAGAGGCGGGGGCCCCTCACTGGCTGGCCCCCGGCCCGTCCCTCATCGTCAGGCAGGCCCAGCCCAGGCCCCTGCGGCTGCAGCAGTGTCAGGCAGTGGAGGCCCCGCTCACAGCCCCCTCGCGGGCCTCCAGGCGGCAGCCCTGCAGAGAACTGGCCCTGGGAAAGACCCCTCTATGCGGGCTGGGGAGGGGGGCCTGCAGGCCAGTGGGCTGGACCTCCCGCCGGCCAGACTCTGCTCCCTAGAATCTCAGCACTGAGGTGGGGGGCTCAGTGACAACCGGAGGGGATGCCCGGCCCCAGACAGTCCCTGGTCCAGCTGCTGAGAGGCCCGGGGGGAGCTGTCCAGGGGGACAGGCAGCGGGGGGGAAGCAGCGTCCCCTCTGGCTGTGAGAGACGGACAGTGGGGCCTCCTGACCCCCACCCCGCGGAGCCCCAGGAGCTGCTGGACCCTGCGGGCCCCGGTGTCCGCAGGGTCCGCCACCGAGACTCCACGCCCAATCCTGGTTCCCTCCGGTCGGCCTGGACTTTGCTCCAGGGCCTAAGGAGACCTGGCCGTCAGCCCCTGCCCTGCGTGTCGGTCACCCTGGACCAGCCCACTGTGCTGGGCCGGCACCCACGGCAGCCCCTTCTCTTCTAGAAACTGGCCTACGCCATCACGCCCGAGACGGAGCACGAGCGGGTGGACAGCGGGGAGGTGCGCCAGTTCACGGTGAGTGCCTCGGGGGGCTCCTCCCGCCCCAGGACGCCAGCGGCGGCCACAGGCGCTGCCCGGCCCAGTCCCTCCAACAAGCGGACACTGGCTCAGACAGCCTGCAAGGGGCATGGCTGGGCGGGATTAACGGACAGAGAACGTCGCTTCCGGAGACTGCAGGGTGGCTGACTTGGCGCAGGACACGCTGTTCGAGCTTTGTCTTCTGTCTCCTTCCTTCCAACTCTGATGTCTTTATTTCTTCTACTTTCATTAGTCTACTCTGTCACACCTTAACTAACTTCTTAATTTAGACCCTGGATCATTAATTTTCAACCTTTCTTCTTTCCCCACATAAGCATTCAAGGCTAAGAATTTCCCACAAAATACTCTGGTGGCTGCATTCCATAGCTTTTAACATAGCATTTTGTTTATTATTTAGTTCTAAACATATTTTAGTTTTCGTTGTGACTTCTTCCACCCATGAGTAGCTTGTAACTCTGTCTGAAACCCCCAAATACATGGGGATGGTCTATTTTTTGTTATTCTTTTCTAAATTAATTTTATTGTGTTCAGACACCTTTTTACCCATTCTTTGAAGTCTGTTAGTGCTCCGTTGTGGCCAAGTACCTACCCAGCTTTTATAAATGTCGCTTGTATTTTTAGATGAGATGTCTTCTCCAAGTGTTGATACACAATTCTCCTTCTGTCCATTAGATCAGGCTGGTAACTGTGTTGTTCAAATCTTCTACGACTTTGCCCATTTCAGCTCTGTTCGGCCATCAGTAATCAGGAGACATTTATGGAATATCCTACCGTGAAACCGTATTTGTCCGTTTTCCCCTGTAGTTCTACTGGATTCCACTTTATCTGACCTGAACCAGTTTTCTGGGACTGATATGGGCTCAGGATTATCAATCTTCCTCGTAACTCAGCCTGTCCTCTCGCCCTTGAGGTACTTTTGCTCTTAAAGTCCTTTTTGTCTAGAGGACTATAGCTGCACAAGGTGTCTTTACAGTTTACGTAAAATGTCTTTTGTAATCTTTTAACTTCCAACTTTGCAGTCATCCTAAAATGTAGGTGTCTTTTGCAAACCTCGAATACACTGAAATATTTTAGTCTGGCAATTGGGCAGATTAATCTATTTACCATTGTTGTGATTACTGATATAGTTGGGCTTGATTCTGCTATCTTTTTAACTCTTTTCCATTTTTTTGATGTCTATTTTTCTCCTTTATTGTCTTTTATGATTGATTTTGGAGGATGGATTTGTTTTCTTATTCTACTCTTTCCTTTCTATTTGTTTGAAACTTATATGCTTTATAAATTTTATGCTTGTTTTTAAAATTGTACTATGTGTATTTCTTTTAAGATTTTTTTGATGCGGACCATTTTTTAAGTATTTACTTATTTGGCTGTGTGTGATCTTTATTTGCTGACACAGCTTTGTCATGTGGGATATTTCATTGCAGTGCACGGACTCTCTAGTCGTGGCAGGTGGGCTCCAGAGTGCACGGGCTCAGTAGTTGTGGCCCCCAGGTTAGTTGCTCCACAGCCTGTGGGGTCTTAGTTCCCTGACCAGGGACTGAACCCATGTCCCTTGCATTACAAGGCAGGTCTTACCCACTGAGCCACCAGAGAAGTCCCTGTAACAAGCATATTTCTCTTCAAGTATAAAGTTAAGCATTATATGAACCCCCATCCTGATTATCACAAGGACTTAAATTTTCCTCCTATTGAGTAATGATACTAATAATTAATAATATTGGTGTTTAGTCGCTAAGTCATGTCTGACTCTTTGTGACGCCATGGACTGCAACACACCAGGCTTCCCTGTCCTTCACCATCTCCTGGAGCTTGCTCAAACTCTTGTTTGTTGAGGCAGTGATATCATCCAACCATCTCATCCCCTGCTGCCCTCTTCTCCTTTTGCCTTCAGTCTTTCCCAGCATCAGGGTCTTTTCCAGTGAGTGAGCTCTTAATTAATAATGAGCTATTGTTAGCCAGTGTTGCATTTATGTCTTTTTTAACCCACAAATTAGGCACTGTTACTATTGTTGTTATCGCTGTTTTCTCCAGAAACTCCTCTGGACGAGTGTGCACGTCCAGTGTTTATTTATTTGTTCACTGTACTTTTTGGCATCTACATCTTTCCTTGAAAGATCAATTTCTTGCCTCTCAAAAAGTATCCTTCAGATGTTCCTCTAAGGGAGTGTTTTTTAATCTGTTTATTTTTAATTGAAGCATAATTGCGTTACAGTATTGCGTTGGTCTCTACCAACATCGTGTATCTGTGAGTGCCTTTACTTTGCCCTCATTTATGATAGAGTTTGTGCAGGCATGCGGTTCTCGATTGAGTTACCATCTCTCAGCATTCTGACTACAGGGCTTCTCCACCTGCCTCTCCACAGCCCTGCTGGGACGGGAGGTCCTGTGGGCGAGGTCTCCTGTGGGCAGGGTCTCCATGTCCTGTGGGCGGGGTCTCCTGTGGGCGGGGTCTCCATGTCCTGTGGGCGAGGTCTCCTGTGGGCAGGGTCTCCATGTCCTGTGGGCGGGGTCTCCATGTCCTGTGGGCGGGGTCTCCATGTCCTGTGGGCGGGGTCTCCATGTCCTGTGGGCGAGGTCTCCTGTGGGCAGGGTCTCCATGTCCTGTGGGCGGGATCTGTGTCCTCTGTGTTCCCGGGACCCGTCCAGCTTTCTTTACCTTTGGGGCTGGTTGCAGTCTCCCTGTGATATGTCTGAGCACAGATTTCTGTTATTTGTATTATTACAAAACTGTTATAAGTAGTTTTATTTACGTATCCCTCCCAGAACATTTTGTGTGTCCGGGGTCTGTAAATTCTTGTTGTTAGTGAGTTCTGGGAGTTTTGCAGCTGAATGTTAAACTTCACCCCTCGCCTCTATGCAACCGTCCTGGGCTCTGTGTGTGATCGTCTCCCTGGCCCCTCGGGGTCTCATCCTCTGCCAGGGGTCTTTTAGGCTCTGTGTCCAGGTGCTCCATTGTGCATTGGCCTCCACGTGGCTGTTTCTCATTTATTTAGCCACATGACAAAATACACCCTTGTGAACGACCGTGCAAGCCCCGCCTTGACAGCAGTTCACACCCCCCTCCGCGCCAGCCTTCCTCTGCCCCCGGAGTCAACACCATCTCGATGCAGCTGGTCGTCTCCTGGGCCTTTTCGGCTGTGTGGTTATGTGCCATCTGTGGGTACCGCTCGGTTCCTGAGAAGTGAACTGTTTGGTCTCGGTCATTTTTAACTTTATTGAAAGGGCTTCATGCTGAGTCCTGGAGCTCATCTCTCCAGAGCGTGGTCACGCACCAGGATTCATGCTTCTTATACACACAGTCCCCCGAGCCTCTTGGAACTGTGAGTTTACAGTTCTCAGTGTATTTGGAAATATTTGCTGTCATTTCTTCCATTTTTTCTGCCTCATCACCTTCAAGGGTTCCGGTTACACACTTTAGGCTCTTTAATTCTCTTCCTCTGTGTGTTTCATTTCGCATGCTTTCTGTTGCTTTTAGTTCATTAGCTTTTCACCTCGGTAAAGCCCCAGCTGCAGATAAGCCCACTCGGTGGATCTGTCATTTCACACACAGTAGTTTTCACCTCTAGAAGTCCACCCTGGACATTTTATGTCAGTCATGCCTCTGCTTAACTCTCTGGATGTGCAGTGCAGGTATGATCACTGTGCAAGGCCTTCATCTGCCAGTGTTAACATCTGTGTCTGTTCTGGGTCAGCATCAGTTGACTTTTCTCATAAGATGTTGAATTTTGCTGATGCCTTGCATGTCTAGTCATTTTTAACTGAATTCTAGATATTGTGAGTTTTACCATGTTAGAGCCTAGATATATTTGTGTTCCTTTATATATTCTGGGGGCTTCTCTTGTAGCTCAGTGGTAAAGAATCTGCCTGCAATGCAGGAGACCTGGGTTCAATCCCCAGGTCGGGAAGATCCCCTGGAGAAAGAAATGGCAACCCACTCCATTATTCTTGCCTGGAGAATCCCATGGACGGAGGAGCCTGGAGGGCTGAAATCCCTATGGTCACAAGAGTCGGACACGACTTAGCGACTAAACCACCACCAGATATTCTGGAGCTCTGTTCTGGGTCATCACTGAGTTACTTGGAGACACTTTGATCTCTGGGGGACTTGCTTGTGAAGACTTGTTAGGTGGGACCACTGCCGCATAGGATGTGGGGCTCGCTGCGCTCCTCATACTGGAGAAAGACCTCGGGAAACACTCTAGTCAGCTCCCTGAGACCCATGAGATGCTGCCACCTGGCTGTGGGGCAGGCTCAGCTCCCAGTCTCTAAGTTTGGGAAATGTTCCCCGAGTCCTGCTGGGAGGGTCTCTCCTGCCTCGAGTGCCTGAGCATTCAGCTGAACCCTTGTGTCCCCGTGTGGATACCCAGGGCTCTGAGTGCTGCGCCCGTCCCTCTGGAGCTCCGTCCTGGGAACTGCAGCCCCCTGGGGCTCTCCCACGCTCACCCCATCTCACTAGCCCCCGGTTCACGGCCCCCCTGGGCTCCCCGCCCCACGCTGCTGCTGGAAAGTCCCTGGAGGCTGCGAGAGGGAGCAGCTGGATGCCTCATCCTCCTGGTCTTTCTTGGCGTCTCTGTCCTTGGTCATCCAATCTCCTGCTGTCTGAAAATGCATTATATATATATTGTTCATTTTAAGTGGTTTTGGATGGTGGAGTCTATTAGGTCCCCGTTACTCCATCTGGACCAGAAATACCATTGTTTCTCCTTCTTTTTGGCTGCGCTGCGCAGCTTATGGGATCTTACTTCCCCATCTAGGGACTGAACCCAGGCTCTCGGCAGTGAAAGCCCTGAGTCCTAACCACTGGACCACCAAGGAATCCCTGGACCAGGAATCTCTTTGTCTGTCTCTCTGGCCATTCTCTCTGACACTGCCCTGCCCAGCCCCCGTACCCCCCATTGTGAAAGCTCCATCACCTCTGACACTGCCCTGCCCACCCCCCGTACCCCCCACTGTGAAAGCTCCATCACCACCCCCTTCCTGTGCCCCTTCGCTGACAGGGGCCTTGTTCTCGTCTTGCTCAGGAAGCAGCCTTTGACCTCTGAGCTGTGCGGCTCTGTGGGCGTGTCCCCTCTAAGCCGTCTTTCACACGGCTGCCCAGCACCCTGAAGGTCGCCAGCTCTCTGGTCCAGGGGCCTGAACTGGAGTTTCTGGCTCCTGCTGCCCACTGCTGTGTTTCTGGTGTCCTGGTCGCCGGCTCACGGCTCAAGCTGCCCTTGTGGGACCTCTGAGAGGCCTCTTCTCCCTCCCAAGAAGGTTGCCTTGGGCTTGTCCGTGGCTGGGACAGAGGGCCACTTCATCCCGGGGCTGGGTCCCAGCTGGGAGTCCCCAGTGTGCCCCCCACCCCGGCCTCGGCGCTGGCCTGAGGTCACCATGCAGCCACCGTCCCGGCCCCGGCCCCGGCCCCTGCTGCTCCGTCCCCACCAGGCCCTGTCCTCCGGCGGCCTTTGGGGCTGTAGTGTGTCCTAGGCTGGTCCCCAGAGGGCGGGGGAGGGCCCTGCAGTGGAGCCGCCTCTCCCCCTGCCCCCTCCAGCAATGGCCGGCACTATCTGCACGTCTTTGTTTGGAAATGCTTACAAACACTCAGTTCTTGCCATTTAGTGGCTTGTGCTCAGAAACAGGCTGAACTAACAGCTGGGTAATCACAGGCAATGACATCTGTGGACAGCTAAATAGGGGCCTGTCCACCTCACCCGTCCCCCGAACCGGGAACGAGGCCACATCCCACACCTGTGGGGTCACACAAAGCAGCCGGCACTGCGGGGCGCAGGGCTCCCCCGGGGCGGGACCAGAGGCCCCATGAGAGAGGCTGCGGGGTGCGGGGCTCCCCCGGGATGGGACAGGACCGGAGGCCCCAGGAGAGAGGCTGCGGGGCGCAGGGCTCCCCCGGGACGGGCCTGGAGACCCCAGGATGAGGCCGCTGCTGGGGGCCAGGGGGATCACAGGTTGCAGGCGGGCTGGCAGTGTGCGCTCTGGGACCCTCCCAGGCTTGCGGCGTCTGGTGTCTGCCCACAGCGGAGGCCACGGCGCCCGGGGCCGCGGGGCCACATTCTGGCCCCTCGAGGCCGCCATGCTCTTTGTGAAGTAGTGACTTCCCTCCAGGAAGCGACCGGGGTGTCAGGTCCGTGGTGCCCAGGAGCTGCCCTGGTCCCCACCCCCGAGCTACGGCAGGGCCCCCAGCCCAGGAGCTACCTTTGTCCAAGGGGCACCTCACTTCATGTCTCAGCAAACCCTGTTTCCTTTGCAGCTCCGCCACTGGCTCGTGGTGTAGGTGGATGGAGGAGGAAGACCTGCTGGGCGCCATCGGCGAGGACCAGGGCAAGGAGGGCCGCCCCGGACACGCACACATCTTTCCCTGGATGGGCCGCACCCTCTGTGCCCCGGGGGATGACCCGCCATCCACCTGTCACTGTGTGACCCCCTAGTCTGTGCTCATCCCGCAGGTAGAAACCACTGCGCTGTGTTCCATGCGTTAGAGCCGCCGCCTGCCCCCCGCCAGCCCACCAGGGCCCCCTGGAGCTCAGGCCACGCTGCAGGTCCGAGTGTGGAGGAGAAATAACAATAATTATAGGTTACGGGTTCTCTGCTGAGAATCCCAGCGCTCGCAATAGCTTCCTAGACCCTCTGTTTTGCTCATATTAAAAAACCCAAGTGTCATGTGTGGCCTTCTTGTGCAGCCGTGAAATGGGAGAAGCCACACAAAAGGTGACGCGGCACGTCCACACGTCCCCACATCATATGGGTCCAGTCCGAGCCCCCACGGGCAGGGGCCTGGGTGGGAGGCGGAGGTGCTGCCTATTTCCTTGTAGCTGAGAGAAGATTCTGTAAAACCTGTGTGGACCCCTACTGTCCCGCCTGACGCGGGTCCCAGCCAGCTCGCGGTCACCGCACCGCAGACCCCCAGCCACAGAGAAGGCGAGCTTGCCAGGAGCAGGGGCGCCCCTGCGGCTTAACCTGGACCCCCCAACCTTAGGAGGGAGGCCTCGCCGGAATCTCGGCTCTTGGAGGCGCCCGTCTTGGCAGCTGCAGCTCTGCTTTCCTTAGGGAATGGCTTTCAGAGGCACTGAGCCGGGAGTCAGACCCGCGCTTAGAAGGGGGCGCAGATTTCTGAAGCCCGTTGGCCGACATTGCTGAGGTTGCTGGAAAGGATGTCAGGCTCTGGCGCTGCCATCCGCAAGGCGCATGGCCATGGTCCAGGGACGCCCTGCTGGCCGCGTGCCTGGGGCCACAGGGAGTCGGGCGGACAGGCCCACAGAGCCCTCTCAGCCGTCGCTGGGAGCGGCCCAGGCCCGTGGAACCGGCTGCTCAGGGGAGCCACGGGTGGATTGGCGCGCGGGTGCGGGTGTGGCTGGGAGGAGTCAGGGCCCCGTCCTTCCCAGGAGGGCTGAGCACTCATAAGAACACCTGTGGTGTCCGCGTCCGTCTGCGTTCACGGTGGCCTCTTGTGTGCTTCCACCAACGATAAAGAAACCCACGGGAGACGGCCAGGGCTGTGTGGCCACGTTCCTGCCCGACGGCGTCTCGTCCAGGTGGCCGCCTCGGGCCTCAGACCCCCTCCCTCGAGAACCCCCTTCACTCACCTCCACCCGCCCAGAGGGCACACAGCGCCGGCCTCCCAGGTCTGCTGGGCTCAACCCGACCCACCCGTGGCTCCGCTGCTGTGTCCCCCTGCCCCCCATCTGTCCTTCCTCGCTCTCAAGCCCCCGTCTGCCCAGTCAGCTCCCCTGCAGGCTCCCCAGGGGTCAGACCCCGGCCAGGCAGGCTGACCGCGGCTACTGCCCAGCCCGGGCACTTCTTCCGGGGACACGACACCCGAATCCCGAGAGGCTCCCCGCCTTTGGTCCCTGAGGCTCTCTCTTCACTCTGGAGAAAGAGGTCCTTCTAGACGCCCGTCAGCTCTGGCCACAGCCCAGAGAACAGCCCTGTGGTTTGTCATTCTGCTCGGATGTCACCTCTGGGGGTCTGCTCTGACCTCTGCTTCCGGGTTCTGCCCCTGGTCAGTGCTCATGACCCCCACTCTCCCCAGCAGGTTCCCATGGAAGGGAGAGTGCTCCCTGTCTCCCCAGTTTGAGCAGGAGCTCCCCCAGGAGCAGGGGCTGAGCTCATCTTGTGCGTTTCTGCCAGTGTCTTAGAGCTGGTACACAGTGGGCATGGCACTCGATTTATATTTACAGATGAGTGAGTTAACAGGGAGGGGGTACCGGTGGCTGGGTGGGTGGGCGGATAGATGGGTGGATAGTAGGAGAAAATGGAGAAAGGAGGAAGGAAGAGAGGAAAAATGATGGGTGAGTGGATGGATGATGAGTGGACAGGTGATGGAGAGATGGATGAATTGATGGATGGAGGGCTGATGGGCAAGTGGTTAGAATGATAGATGAATGTTGGATGGATAAATGGTGGATGGATGGATGAGTAGATGGATGGATGGATGGATGAGTAGATGGATGAATGGATGAATGGATGGGTGGGTGGGTGGACGGATGGATGAGTGGGTGGGTGGATGGGTGGGTAATTTGTGTGTACTTGAGTGGATGGACAGGTGGGTGGATAGGTGGAAATAGATGGTGGAAGTTCTTCTATTACATCTAAAGGCTGTCATTCTGGTCCAGTCTCACACATCCCAGTGGGGCTAGCCACCTGAATGTTGCGTTTGATGTCTGTTCTCCAAGGGGAGGTCATGCTCTTTAATACAAGTGAAACATGTCAGTCTTGAAACACCTGAGTACGTGTTTTCTAACGGCTCTGAGTGGGTGCAGAAACCAGCTCCTGGGCGGGAAGAGGCCGCCTGCACCCCTGCTCTGTCGACGGGAGGCCTCGGTTCCTCCATCCACACCGCGCTTCGTCATCGGACAGATGCGCTTTGCCCAGTGACCTTTAGAAACGGTCTAGGTGTTACAGCCCAGAAAAGCCATGTGATTTTTCCTTGGAGAGGAGCATTTTAATAAAGGCTGGGCAACAGTGAAATCGGTGATTTAAAGGGTAAATGGATCCCTCCGTGTTTGGCTTTCCTTGGTTTTGCTCCACAATCCCTGCTTAATCTCTGTAGGCGCACCTGACCAGCATCTTTACCCATCTCTTGGTCAAGGACAGCAGGAAAGGTCACCTTTTCTGAGACTGTTAATTAGCAAGCCCCATGTTCTATGGTCCTCCCTGGAAGATGCTGCCATGTCCTGACCTTGAGAGACCGGCCTGCTTCTCACCTCCTGCCCCCTGCAAGGACCCCCAGGGCCCCAATACCACCCACAGAGTCTGAAGCACTGGAACCTCCCAGCTGCCCAGGGTCCTGCAAACCAACCCCTCACCACGCACGGGTACCAACTGGCCACATGGAAGGTCCATTCACCTCTGGGAAAACAAAGCAAAAGCTGACAGTCACACTGGCCGCCTCCCCACCCTCTGACCTCAGGTGACAGACAGGGCCAGGCGACTGGGCTGCCCCTTCCTGGAGCCGCAGCCATTCCACAGGATGGGAGACATCAAACCACTCTGATTTAGAGGGTCTGACTTGACTGGTTTTTTTTTTCATTTTAACAAAATAGAAAATATCAGAGTCGGTGCCCCTGACAGGGGCAAGTTCTGCTTTATGAAATATGTTTCAGGCGTGTACCTTATCTGCCTGACAGAGCATGAGAGAGAGAGAGAGCTGGAACGTCAGAGGCAGAAGTGACAGGACGGGGAGAGAGACAGGCCCTGCAGGTCGGGGTCTAAGGTGACCCCCGCAGCCCCCTGGCCCTGCAGGAGGGCCCTGCCTGCAGCCCCCTCTGCGTCCCTCCTCGCGTGCCGGCGGGCAGCTTCCATGTACACAGCAGAGCTTAAGAATCGAGTCCGTATCGACTTGGCGCTGAACACACTTATCTAGAATTTGAATAATTTTTACTTATTCCAGGAGCTGAGTTCCTCTTGTATGTGCTAAGGCGTTTCACTCGTGCCTAACTCTTCGTGACCCCACGGACTGCGGCCCTCCAGGCTCCTCCGTCCAGGGGGCTCTCCAGGCAAGGCTACTGCAGTGGGTTGCCCCGCCCTCTTCCAGGGGATGGTCCCAACCCAGGGATCAAACTCCAGTCTCATTGTTGCCTGCATTGGCAGGCGGGTTCTTTACCACTAGCGCCACCTGGAAAGCCCAAGTTCCTCTTTGCTTCAAGTCATTTGTTGTGTAGGCGAGAGTTCCATCAGAGGGGACATTTCTCGGTTGAAAGCGGCCTGCTTCTGTATTTACACAGCGGTGTGCTTGACTGGCTTGACCCTGCTGGATCAAAGGTTAATATCTGGAGCAGCTTTTCAAGAAACATATTCAAAGACGGTATTACGATCCATCAGATGTTATATGCTCTGACATCCTTTAAGCCTTGTTCACACAGAGACTAAATGTAAAATTCTAAACCGTTCTATTACACCAGAGAAACCTTAGAGATGGAGGTCTCTTGCAGGTCCAGCTCCCCAGGGAGCCAACGAAACCCCCAGGAGGGTGACCCTGTTGGCCTGGGTGCTCCAGGCTCCAGCTCCGGGGGTGGGGCCAGGCCAGCTCATGCTTCACCTCTGGGCAGGGACCGTGGCTGTTTGAGGAGGAAGCTGGAGAGGAAGGTGAGGGCGAGGCTGGCCCAGCGCGCAGCCTGGGTGAGGGTCCCGACCTCCCGGGCCTCGCTGCCCACCTGCTGCAGCGGCCACTGAAGGGGTTAAAGTGTCGGGATGAGGGAGGTGCTGAGGAGCCGGGCCTGAGCATGGCAGGTGACAGCGTTGTTTCTGGCAACTCTCAATACCCCAGATGGTGAGGCGACACTTTGTAACTGCTTCCCGGTTACCGCAGGCACAGAGAAAAGTTGTTTTCCATCCAATCAATTGTTCATTTTTATGGCTCTGTCTGATGTCGGAAATACTAATGGATCTAACCCTTATCTGCCGGTTCCCCCCTCTCTGAGCGTGGCACCACTCCCTGTGGGCACGTGGGGACGCCGGGCACTCTGGTGACATCTGTGGTCCCCACGTGGACGCAAGCGCTGGGGCCTTGGGGGCGAGGGCGCAGCCTCGGCCAAGGGGGCCCTGCCCGTGCGTGGAGCATCCCCGACCGCTGACCAGGACTGAGGAGGAGGGAGCGGGTGAGGCTGGCACTTGCAGGTCCAAGGCACGGCCCCCACTCCACCCCGCGCTGAGAAGCTCACCGCCTCCCTCCAAGAGCCCGCCCCTCACACCACGACTGGGAAAGGCCCGGAGGTGACGCCTGGGCAGGATGCAGGGAGCCCAGTGGCGTCTCCAGCCCCGAGGAACCCTGCGAGGCCTCTGGGTGCAGGTCTGAAGTCGGGTTTGAACACCCGCTCTCTGTGCTGAGACTCTTCAGCTGGGAAAAACCTGAGACCTCCTCATTCTTGGATGGAAGAAAACATTCCTGTGTTT